GAACACTCGGCCTTCCATGGCCAACACCACACACGACACAGCCATCCCCCCACCCACCTGCAATGACCCAAACCAGTGCACGTGTGTGAGGACCAAAATGTGAGCGACATCCGGTCATGGAACTGGAATGTTGATTATCTCTTTTCCAATTTGTCTTTGTCTCTCCACCCCTTCCAAACTGTTTGATTTAAATTGTGATGTATTAGCCTGTAGAAGAATCACCGCAAACGAGCTTGTTCGTTGCTTTGAGTTTTGGGTTTGTTGAAAACTGCAATTCGTTGTAACAAAACCCCCATGAGTAGTATAACAGTATTAATATAGAAGCAGCACCAATTGGCGCCATTTGAAGGGAGGGACAAAAGACCACCGAATAAAAAGCTTTTCAAATGAGTACCAGGAACAAGAGGACTAAAAACACTTTGCGAGAGGCAATATTGGTGAAATTCTTTTCCCACAGCAAACTTAACCGGGGCAAACGAATCACGTTTCAGGCTGAATCACAGCCTGGAATCAAGGATTGATTTATTAGGTATAACGATCTAATAACAAATTATAATCAGCAAATCACATTGCCTTTTTCATGCTATAAACAACTGACTGATGCTAAATTGTATGCCAATCTAGACATAATATTCTTTTGCGGAATTCTTTACTTTCATTTAAACACTAAGGGGAACAAAGGACAATTTCTCCAAAAACTCATCAGATCGATTCTATTTTCCTATCGGAAGGAATCCATAGTCTGGATGATACGTTCTACCAAGACTTTTAATACCAAAACCTGTTTGAAGACCTTCAAGGTCTGGCTATTTTCATCTGACCTGGAGGTAGGACTGTTTGCTTACCTGTTCCGGTAATCGTGGTGGATGAATCAGCACAATCAATTTACCCGGTACACCGGCATGTAACAGTGCGGCCACACAGGTGTATGCGTCCAAATTGTATCCGTAAACAATGATCAAATTGTGCTGTACTGCGGAAGACGGTTGCTTGAATCCATCTAGGCCGGAATCGGATAACCCGTTTATGCCCGACCTCTTCTTCCACTCGGGCACATTCAGTTCGTCCAGATTGATTGACGGCAGATATTCGTTTTGAATCCATCTCAAAGCGGACTGCGCGTCTTGGATGTTATTGATTCGGAACAAATTGCTCGGTGGACTTGAATTAGGATATTCCACTGAAAGACATGCAAAGATACGAGAGTGAATGAGGTTGGTCCAAATGAACGCTACGTGCATGAGATTACAGCTTGTCTGTACTCAAGAGTTTTAGAAAAATGTTCAAAGTACATCGTATACGAAAACCTTTTCAATCTGAACGGAGGAATCTTATTTGGAATACTTGTTTTGGGCCCATATTTTGATAACTTAATTTTCATGATGTACTGTAAAGATGCATTGGATTGATTCATTATATCCTGAGCAAATCAGGTTTTGGTTTCGCCCTCCCAACTACTTTGTGGTTGATTCACGTCTCAAGTCATTGCTTCTATCGCTGACAAATGACGAACGAAACTTAAGCAAGAAAAATGCTTTCATTATTGATTTTTCTATTCGTTTTAACTTATTTCACCATACCCTAAGAACAATCATGCATGTCCCGTTTGGACTTCAGTTTGATTCGCCCAAGGCTTCAGGCTCAGATTTTATCCCCTTTTGAATGGTTGCATTCTATCATCTTCCGGTTGAACGCCATCTTGACTACCAATGCCCAATCCAAGAAGCGGAACTGAAGATTTTTGCTAGGGTGAGATAACTATGAATGCACGAAAAACAAAAATTAAAAGAGACCCAATTTTCAAGCGAAAGCTGTTGGAGTGTAAAGTACATTTGTAACAGCTTGCGTTATGAATTGATTGAGTAAGCGCGCACATGTTGATTATGTGTAGACTGAAACTAATCGTGACTTGGTGAGATTCAAACATGGATTCATCGTCTTAGCTAATACACTTTCACCTCTATGTGTGTTTGAACGAAAGTCTACCTGTTTGCCGTTGTACTACAACTAGCTTGTGTGCTCAGCAACTGGAAACAAAATGAACGAACACATGTACGATATTGACTAGAATGCTCTTATGTGCTACTTCGAACCTGCCTAAGCTGTATGTCTATCAGTTCCCAACCATTTACGTCTGTTGAATCGATAATGCAACGACTGCGGTTTTAACAGCGATCGCCCTACTAGCTCAACGACTAAATCACCGATAGAACTGATCTTTTCCAATTTGCTTCACCTATTTAAATCACAGTGGCATATGGAATCCGCCAAGCGGCTTCCATACGTGGTTCCGAATGCCACCAAGGCTACTGAACCTTTTCATTTTAAAACTAATAACTTCAAAATGAAAGATCTCCAAAGTTTGCCACACACGGTATTAGCCTATTATTCATTTGGAGGTTGAACTCGGCCGTCACACTCATCCAAAGAGCAGTTTGACAAGCGATTGTCTTTACTACCAATCAGATATCACCAAAATCGACGAAAGTATAACCACTCTGCACATCACATCCAACTAAATTTAATAATTCAGTTCTCCATACTTAGCCATCAACATAAGTAAGAAATAGAGTCAGTGACTTTACTTAATTGTCGAACGTGTCCCGATTCGGCCCGAACGTCGATGCATGACAACTTTGAAACAGTTACGTCAACGTTTGAATAGGAAAGACTCGAATCTCCGAACATAGAAGATATATTTGAATAAAAGCCGTTTCGCTCTACTCCACTGATTTTAGATTATTTACAACATAATAAGAACAAAGTTCTTGATTTTAACCGGGCTCTGATAGTACATAATCACAAACACAATCCCGCAAACATTGAGAATTGTTGGTCACAGTAGCTTTACTCTGTTGAGTGACCTTCATGCTATTTCCCTTTATCATGCCGTACCGTGTTTTTTATAATCACCACTTTTTCTTTGGTCTTACTTTGTTCATTCCTTGGCCATAAAAATCAGCTTGATAGCAGTACACGCCTGTGCAGATGCAGCGAAATGGTCATGGGTGCATTGAACGAACCCATGTCTTGATGTATTTAAATACTTCCAAAGTAGCAGTCATTCCTCATAATTATCCCGTCCAATAAATTACCACACATGGAGGACGGTGTTATTCTGGTGCAGTCGGTTTGGAATTACGAAGGTTCTTCATTCGAGAAATTAACTGTCTCAAAAAAGAATATTGTTTGTCAACTGAGAAAGTGTGGCTCAGACTTTGTATATTTCAGTTTGATGTTTTTTGGTCAACAGACGAAATGTGGCAATTGCAACGAAGGGCGTTTGATTTTCATGAAATTCATCTTTTTATTAAGCATCAGGTTTAATTGGCTAAAGCTCCCTCGATGTTTGACATACAATGTGTAGCACGAATTTATAATATTACAAAGCCTCATATTTTCCTATCAGTGGTGCCTAAACTGATAGATCAAGTTCACTCGTGTGATAAATAGGTCAAAACCTTTGGAGATGAGGTGAACGGGAGAGGATTGTGGCTGTTCCACAAGTAAAGCGAGTCAATGTTTGAAATCATTTGATCTTGAGAAAAGTTATAGCTTTCTGTTGTTCCAGCTAATCACTGCCTTTGTAGTAGTCAGTGAAACACTTTGTTGGGAGCTACCAAACCAGAAGTTTTATATTCGGGGCACGGATACGTCTAGGATAAGCATTACTGGGGCCCATAATAGACATCTATCTGTACCAAAATTGCTTCTAAGCATCACTGATAAGTAGCCATCATCCGTGGCTTTAAATATGCCAGTTCGTTTAGACGCATACAATCATTAGGTTTGATGACATCTATTTCATCCTTGTTGTGAGTGACCAGCAGTGTCATTTGTTTGTATCCCAGTCTTCACTCGAGCCGCTAACCTTGGGGTTAGGAATCGAAAACCTAAACACCTTCTGTTTCCACGCATAGAACTACAATGCACCCCGAATACATCACTATCAAGGAACGAGAACCATAAAAAAAAACAGATTATGCGGACTGTGTAGTCTGTGTCAATTTATACAAGAAAAACCGTTAGATAAAAACACTATGAAAGACAAAGATATAATTTTGAAAATGAGACCCCATTCTCCATGGTTTTATTGCAAAACACAATATAAATATCTTCATACAGAGAATTGAGGGTGTCCAATTTTATGGGATTCTTGGGTAGAGACTGGGGTATGTCTCTATCCAGTTAACTCTGATGATCACAGTTCAATGGCGTGAGAGCTGACTTGGGAATCTGAGGCTACCAGTCAAATGAGGTGTGTCATTTTCAGGCGTGTTAATAAACGGTACGTTTTTATTCCAAGATGAGAGCTTGGAATACTTCACTTTGAGTTCAACTCTAACATTCTCTAAAACGATACGCTGCCAAGCACCGAGTGGAACCGATACTTACCGGAAAACCGACGTGTAGAAAGAAATGGTGCTTCGCTTGTTTTCATCATTTCTTGTATATCCGCCCCATTTGGACAACATGTATGATATTGTAAACCGGTTGTCAGTACCAGATAATCGTATGATAATGCCCTTGTACGATCTATAGTGATTCTTTTGAATTTTCTGGAAACAGGATGTGAAAATGTACCATGATTGCAAAACCAAAGATAGTAACTCTAAGTAATGAACAAAATTTCAGGACTCGAGGATAGTACAAACTGAACTTTAATCTTGTGATCTATGGGCTTGTTCGAATAACCCTTAAATATCTCCCTTTACAATATATATATATATACTTTAGGTTTTTAAAAACAAACTAATGCTCATCTATCCAAATTGATGAAAGCAGCAGTTTATCGAAAATTAACTGCTATTCGAGGTGCTTGATGAATTAACTTACCGATTTATGGCAGTCAATTTGCCATGAATCACGTGAACACAATGACGCAGTGCCAGCTGATTGAGTATCTCGGTCGGATAACTGTGACTGAAATGGGAAATTCAGATTGAAAACACATGCTTCAGAAAGCATCGCGTGCGCGCGCCCCCAAACACACGTGCAAATGTGTTCGGCATACGCGGATTTACAGGAATGAACACCGAAATGAACGATTAGAATTGAATTGTCGCGTGTCAATTTCCTTTCACAAATTTTAATCGATCATTCACATTGAACTGAATGATGAAAGAAGATTGAACATAGTCCGAAATGTGGGTCAGCCTGCATATTGGGTTAATAATATGACCAGGTTTAAGTAAATTTGGAATTATGCACAAACCAAATTCATTCCTATTTCTGTCATTATGCGGCAAATCAAATACCCGGTTAACAATTGCCATTTAAATTGTACCACGAAAATGTTTGAACTTCGTCGATACTTGATTACTAATTATAAATATGGTGACTAGTGTTAATTCTTCCACCCTCATCCCCCACCCCTATAATAGTCCACAGTGTATCAACATGAAACGGAATTGAATCAAAGCACGTTATTAGCAGATTAAACATCCGATGCTCTTCATACGGTGAGTTTGTTGTGTGCGTATAAGTGAATGCTACATTAGAAGAAATAAGACAGACTAAGCGAGTATAGTCGGACTAAACCATTAGATCACATTCACCATCACGTGGATAATGTTATGATTCCGGTGGAAGAATTTTTGAAGGTGTCATTCGTTCGAACCGTTTGGTGAGAAACTTACTAGTACGAAAAGGTCACGTGCTATAGCATACAATTAAAATGATATTAGATTTTACAATCCTCCCCTCCAAATTGCGAAGTTTTTGTTAATCGCAGATGATTATGACATAAATACAACGGGAGGAACTATAAACGGTTTTCTTCCAGCGGGGAGGGAGAAACACTAATTTCATTTCGACACTCCAACTGGTGCGTCAGAGAAATGAATCCAGAACAATTAGGACATAATTGAGGAGACAGCTCTGGTTGATATGGCTACACGACCATTCCCTCATATATAATGGTTGTACAAACTAAAGCTGCTCCAAAACAAGGAACGGAAAATATGTGTAGACTTTGATTTTTGTCTCTGTAGCTTTTACTAATTGATTTCGCCAGCGCGCAGATAACATTAAGTGTCGGACAATGAAACAATCCAAACGTGTGACCTTTCTTCAAGGCTTGGCACAGAACAGTTCTTGAATGCAAATTCCCGTTTACCTGAATGTCACAGGTAGTTCAGTTTTAAGTTGGCATCGTCGACACTGTTCAGGTCAGTTTCACTATTTCATTCTGCGATAAATTTTCAAAACGTATCTGATTTCAAATCAACACTGGGGTGTAACAACAACGTATATGACGAAGAAAGCGAAGCAGAACAAATTAGGTGATACATACGATTTTCGCGCATCGCGTCCAGTTATGGTGAATCACCAACCAGTCCTATCGGTCTACTATCATCTATTAAATATTTTCTTTCATTGAACTGCAAATATGTTGTCATTTGCTCATCAGTTTGAATGCAGAAATATATATCAAAGCAGTAATGAAGGCACCTCAACTCGACAGTACCCTGAAACTGTTACCAGTCAATCATTGAGCCCTACAAATTCGAGTGTGTAAAGGCGGTGCCAATGGTTTTCTGGTTTGTAAAATATGTTTCACGTTTGTCTGTATCAGGATATCAGAATGGGAATGAATGCCAGTCACCTACTAGATAGCACTGGGATTGAGCGTATTAAAAGCTTTTTAAAATAAAGCACTGTACACTGAGTGCGTTAAACGCAGGAAACTCTTATCGAGATAGCACTTGTATTTATACCTAGAAGTGCAACAAGAAGTGAAGTTCAATTGTCAAAGTTCGGATTGCATGAAATTGTACTTATTAACTTGCAGGGCAATTGATCAACAACATCCAGAGAGGTCAACTGCATTGAGTATTATAAATATAAAATCAAACTCGGGTGGAAGTTCACCTTGCTTCCTCGCTTGTCACCGCAACAAAAATATTGAGCAAGGCATAAACAGTTGATAAAAATGAGTGCACTCCAGAGGGATGACGACTTTGGTGTTATTGGGGAGGAGATCACACCACGAATAGCGAAAGCTAGAGCAGCTTTCGTCAACCTGTAATACCTGTGGGGCCGCCTTGACATCCAACTGTCTCTTAAGAAAAGAGTGTACATCGCGCGGTTCGCAGTGTTCTGCTTTACGGCTGCTAGACCTGGACTCTCCGCTTTGTGGATCCTAATGAACTTTCCGCATTCGACCACCGATGTCTTAGAAGCATTGCTCGTGTCTGCTGCGAACGGCAGGTGAGTAATGATGAGGTTTATCGTCGTGTGTTGTGTGTGGATAATCGCTCCTTAACGAAAGTAATCACCGTACATTATCTCGATGGCTTGTTCACGGTTCGCGTATGCCTTCCCCCTCGACTACCTCGCAGAGTATGTTCTGCAGGACGCTTCATCCGGTTTAGCAAACAGTGGAGACAAACTCATCCCAGGGAACAGAGTTCTTGTCTAAGAATATGTCGACAACACCGTCATATTGGGTGACAATGCACAGACAGTCCAACAAGCTTTAAACAACTTGGCAATAGAGGTATCCAGATATGGCATGTGATTTGCAACATCAGAGTGCAAAGTGCTTGTTCAAGACTGGCAGGAGCCCGTATCTGCACTTACTCTTTCTGGCGATCAGATAGAAATGGTCGAGAGCTTCAAATAGCTCGGAAGCTCAATCACAGCTGGAGGTGAGGTTGGGGAATGGATCACATCACGAATTTTTCGCCAGACTGCGAACCTGTGGCGCCGCGATGATATCTGACTGTCCCTTAAGGGTAGTGTGTACATCGCCGCAGTTCTGCTTTACGGTTGCGAGTAATAGCCTCTCCTTGCTGAGGAAGCTAATCGACTTTCCGTATTCGACCACCGATACAGTGGAAGAATTGCTCATGTTTGGTGGTACCATCGGGTGAACAATGACGAAATTCGCCGTCGTTCTCCAACGGAAGAAATCGTTATAAACCGCCTCCAATGGCTGAATCATGCTTTGCGTTCATCTGTCCATCGACTAACTCGCGGCGCTCTCTGCACATGCTGGGCAAGATTGGAAGAAGCACCACGGCGGTCATACCATGACATGAGGTAGAGGTATAAAGAACTAATCCTCAGCATTGGCTTCGGTTGGTGCAGCTCGCGCTCCAGGTTGGGTCCGAAGTGATGAGGATTGCTGGATCAGAATAGATGTCAGTAGCGCGATATCTATGCGGTTTTTTTGGCAAAACCCCATTACTCATAACACAAAAATATCTCCAGAAAGTGTACTGTGAAACTATCAAAAAATTATTCATTCATTCGTTCTGCGTGTTCTCTGTTTTCCCCATTTTCATTTAATCCTCGTGCACCCGGTCGTAAATTGGTTCTCATTGTTTTGCACTGGCACGATGCTTGTTCTCAAGCCGGTGTAATATATATATGCATATATATATATACATCGAATATTTATTCTCAAGTGGTTAGAAGTGAAATAATTCACACAGAGAATGGCAACGTGATAACTATTTTTTAATGATCCCTTGTGCTAAGTGTTTTGTTGATGTAGACAATCTGTGATCTTGGAGCACGTGACCAGAGCATATGCAAACAAACAAACCCGGGTTGAGCATGTGATTAGCATTGGCAGGGGTAGCAGTATGATCTTTATGTCGCCGTAACTAAAATAGTGGTGATGAGAATTTGGTGTTCGTTGGTCAATTTCTTCACAGGATTTTTTTTCGGAGCCTTCAAGTATGTTCACTTGCATGCAGGAACCAGCAGTGTTATATACCGCGCTCGTTCACTGGCCTCGTTCCTAGGGAAAGTAAAAAGATTTTCGGTAAACAACCAGGCGAATCAGGCGTTTCGAAGCGTTCAAAGTCGCACGTATCTCCAAATTCACAAAGAAACCATCTAGCATAGGAATATGGTGTGAATTATGATAACTCCACCATGGATGACAGCCAGAGTAGCGATGACGTATCAGGTCCGATCGGTGCAGTAAATGTTGAGGAAAATAAACAACCCTCCTATCGGAACTCATCCTATATCCAACTGAACATCTGGCATCAGAGAAATCGATTTCATATTGCATCCCAGTTGGTGCCGTGTACGGTTTACAGGGACATAGGCAATGTCTGCACGTGAGTTCAAATTGCACTGAGGTTTTGGACCGTTTTGCATATGTGAAAAACGCAAAGATGTTTAAATTTATTATGGAGTGAAATTAAAATGACGTACTTGAAACACACATTGCAGTACTTCAATGTTCATCTGAAAACTCAGCGTTTGATAGCGCCACAATTGTAATTTTGGGTCTCGTGCAATCAAACGAACGCATGATATTATTGTAAATTACCAAGTTTCGCAATTAATTCCTAGAACATCACTCCCATCAACGTTGGAAAATACTTTGGGAGGGGGTGTGGATTGTTCAACATTCAGGAATCACCTGCCCACACAATAATTAAATCTCTCAGTTAATGAATCAGACACTAGGGAAGCGCTGAACCTCAATGCCACTCCTGTTGGAGCTCATTTTCACAGACCCATCCAGGATTTGAACCCTGGACGCCTTAAACGGAAGACCTGTCTGCCAACCTTATGCTAATTAGCTCACGTCAGGGTTAACTAGAAGTACCAATGAAAGGTTTTTGGAACATGGTCTTAGATTTAATGCTTAGCACACTGCCATTTTTTTTATCACAAACTGTGTTTGGATACACATGACTTCTTATGACCGATAAGACTAACAGACCAGGTACTGATCATTATCTTCTTCCTTTCCGACTGTGTATGTAACGCTGGTATTCACGACGACTCTCATTGGTTTTGATAGCACACTTTACGTTTTGCAAGGTTGATAGAACACTTTTCCGTTCAGTTCAAACGAAGTTAGAATAGCATAGAGCACTTGCCACCCTGATAAGCGAGGTATGCTGATTGATGTTTAACTAACTTTGAACACTCCATTTCAATCTGTCAGC